GTCATGTGCTCAGGTACAGTTCTCATTTAAAGACTTGCATGTTGATCAAGCCCTTACTTGGTTTGGAAATCTTCTAGCATATACCTGGAATCTTTGTTAAGCCAGGAATCCAATAACATAACCTTTTATCTCTAGGTTTGAGGCAGATCCTCACAGTTTCCTCATCAATATTCAGCACTGCCAGCTTTGGGCTAAAAGAGTGTCAGTACACACCATTCACTGAATGCACCTATGCTAACTTACTTCCTGAAGGAACAGTGCCTCTTGCCATTTCCTGAGACTAGGCCCACCACCACTCCAATAAGTTTCATACCAAAGAAGGCTCTACATATAACAGCACGGACACTTTAGGGCAGGATGCATTACTGATTCACAGCTCTTTCTTTCACAGTTCTGAGATGCCTGGGAATTCCCACTAGGGTTGTCACAGGCTTCACATGGGCTCACAACACTAACAGCAACCCTAATGTGAACGAGTATTATGATGAAGATGGGACGCTGCTTACACCTGACAAGAGCGCCCGTGTCTGGTAAGGAAACAAGGCAGGGCCCAAGGAACAGTTGGAGACAATATCTAGGTCTAGGATGTGACAGAGGGAAAAAGGAAAACAGCTGCAGGGAGTTTTATAAGATGTAGAACAGCTAAGATCCAATCTACATGACTTGTTCTTGAGAAATTCCAGCAACCAAAAATTTTTTCCCACCAAGGACAGCCCATCCCACCTGGAGAACCTCCACTTACATCAAAATCTGTGGTCACTGCTGCTCCCACATGCTGGGCTCTTCTAAAGAAGTATTAATTAACTGTGCTTTGGCTGTAAGTGTCCTGTACCACAGGGCTCAGTGCCTTGTTATAAACATGCTGTGCCTCTCACAGGACTTTCCATGTTTGGAACGAATGCTGGATGGCTCGAACAGACTTGTTACCAGAGTACAGCGGATGGCAGGCACTGGATGCCACCTGCCAGAAGAAAAGCAAAGGTAAAATATTAAAGAGAGAGATGGAGAAAAAGAGAGCAAATAAAGCAGTGGGATCCCTCCCTCAGCTTCCACTGAGGGGATGCATTAAGGGAAGGAGGCACTCTGAGGGCTGTATGCACTAAATCATCATTGACCTGTTTGGTTTGTGAGCTTGTAGAGCTCTAAAAGGATCCATTGAAGCACAACACTTAACATACCACTCCCTATAGCGTATAAGTATACACTAAGCATGGGCCTAGTTGGCAAAGCATCTGATTCTTAACTGGGCTATGTTTTCTCTTCAGGCCCTTCATTTTGTGGGCCAGCTCCTGTTCAGGCTATCAAGGAAGGGGACATGGAAGTGGATTATGATGTCTGCTACTTCTTTGCTGCCATGAATGCCAAGTGCAAGGTCTGGATACACAAGGCAGATGACATCCTCAAGCCAGCTTTCATCTGCACAAAGTATACTGGCAACAACATCAGCACCAAGAGTGTGGGCAGTGAACGCTGTGAGGATATCACACACAACTACAAGTATCCTGAAGGTACGAGGCAGACAAATGTTTGAGCACATTCCCTGACCATGTTCCAAGTGAAGGGTAAATGACTACAGAGCAGAGCCATACCAGAACAGCAGGGACGTCCACTTCTCACTACCTCCCCTTCCTGAATGGGGCAGCAACAACATCTGACTTTGGCTGTGTACAGAACCAAAGTACGGGTCGTATTTCAGTTTCGTCCTGCTTAATTACCAGCTTGCTAGGACAGGCACTCTCCTGTCTGAAAAAATCTCCTTTCCTGACTTCTGTTATCTGCACATTAATTTCCCATTACCCTTATATCACATTTCATACTCCAGCTTTCTGTACTCCTAGACATTGTCTAAATCCGTCCCTCAAATAGCAGCTCTTCAGAATCTATTACTGTGTTCTGTTTACCTGACACAGCCCTACCATCTCATCTTTTTCTATGGCATGCTGCCTCCTGGTTGCAGTCCATCACAAGACAACACAGTACCACTCCACAGCTACAGTTACAAAGAGAAAATCTTTTCTTACTCTGACATTTATTAGCACCAGAGTGCTCAAAAACTATGAGAAGACTTTTCAGACACAAACAATTTCCTCGCAGCTGAAATTCTTGGTCCACTTCAACCAAAGCACGAGGTATTTCTCTGCTATGAGCAACAGTTGTCTCCAATACAGCTGGGACAATTCCACTCTTTCTACACGTAGTGCTTTACAACTACTAAACAAGAAAGAATATTAAAATGTGCTTTTCTTTTTGGCAACAGGCTCTCTTCAAGAAAAAAAAGTACTTGTCAAAGCCTACAGAAAGATAAAGACACTTCAGGCAATCAGCAGCAGGAGAGAGATTATCTCTGTTCCTCCTGCCCATGAAGAGCTTTTTATCCACCTCCAGTCCAAGAGTTCTCCAATACTGGGACAAGATATTCCACTTTCCATTGAAATGTTTAACTATAGTGGTAGAGAAAAGGCTACACACCTGGTACTTGGAATCCAGTCTCTACATTATAATGGTGTTCCCATTATGCAACTTTGGAAGGAAAAGTTTAATTTTATCATCAGAAACAATGAAGGTAAGGGCTCTGCTAAGGCTGAATTAGTGCATCCAATCCTCTCACTTCAGAAGAATGCACTTAGCTATAAGTAAGAAATATTGGTTGGAAAGCCAAATGTAGGCAATCCAAACAAATCACCTTTGTGGGAAAGAGGAAAATAACTGCAGCATGTTAGGTGGATCATTTTCACTTGGGCTTTTAAATGCAGTTTTCAGTACATTGTTGGGTGGTGCAGGCTAAGAACATAACATCAGTTGCACTGTTATCTGTATTTCACCACTCTATATTCCAGTTAAAACCCTGCAAGTCTTTGTGCCTTACTCACGGTATGGAAAAGAGCTGGGAGAGAACCGTCTGCTTAGGCTGACTGCCACGCTGAGAGATGAGGACTCCTTCTACCTATACTTTGCACAAGAAGAGATTAGCATCTGTGACCCGCCTCTGACTATTGAGGTTAGATTGGTCTGTCATTCTGTTACTGCAGTGGTGAGATAAGAGTTTTTGTAGTTATGAGCAGCAGAAAAATTCTACTACACTGAGTGGCTTTCCTCATACTGTCTTCTTTCAAAGCACTAAAATAAGAGTTTGTGAAAAGTGAGTTGTACTGCACTGTTGTAGAGAGTATTTCTCCCATTTTTACCTTGCATATGTGCAAAAATAAATAAATCCAGGTAACCCCTAACATGGTCATGAGTCCACAAGTTAGAAGGAGAAAGCTACAGAAGAACACTGCAGTGGTGAAGAAAGCTGGACTTTGTGTCTTCTGGCAACTGGCAGCTCAGGCTGAGACCTCTGGCAACAAAATTCAATTATCTCTCTTTAATCATAGAAGTTTGTCTTTCCTTCTCTGAGTTTCAGCTCACTGCTTTCTTTCAACAGTTTCCAGAAAATGTGGTACTGTACCAGCCATCCACAGTGAAGGTCAGCCTCCTGAATCCTCTCACTGAACCCCTGGAGAAGTGTGTGATAGTGGTTGGAGGACGAGGGCTCATTTACAGACAAAGGAAGTACAGGTGAGTGCAAACTAAGCAGCTAAACAGAAAAACAAACAATACAAGCCAGAGAAATCCTTGCCCTGGAAAAGCTGTCCATCAGAATAAACAGGCAGCATCACGGTAGGAAGAGATCACTACAGCTGGAAGACCCAGGCGTTCCCTTACTTAGGGATAATACAGAAGATTTTCACACTGAAAAAGAGAACAGATAACTTTCAACAGGCCTTCCCATTCTCTGCTGAAGAACCAAACAAATCTGACTTAAGTTACCCAAACGCAAATATGCTTCTCAACTTGAAAAAGCAACATTTCTCTCAAGAAACTGCATTAGGACAAATTACGCTTAGATATTTCCATGGGGAACTCAACCCTCATATTTCCCTCCCAAAGCTGTTTTTATCACAATCCCATTCTGGTGGTTTCAGTCACCATTTAACTTTTTCTATAGACCCTCCTATTTTATTTTATTTTTGGCATCATAGAATTGTAGAATGGCCTGGGTTGAAAAGGATCAGAATGATCACCTAGTTTCAACCTCTGCCACAGGCAGGGTCACCAAGCACCAGACCTGGCTGCCCAGTGCCACATCCAGCCTGGCCTTCAATGCCTCCAAGAATGGGGCATCCACAACCTCTGGACAACCTGTTCCAGTGCATCACCACCCTCTGAGTGAAAAACTTCCTCACATTCATGCCTCACAAATGCATCTCCTATGGCCAGGAACTAGAAATATAAAGAGGTGTACTTTCTATATAATGCCTTCTTACCTTTCAGGCTGGGTTCTGTGCAACCTAACAGCACTCAAGACTTGCATATCTCATTTACACCTACTGAAACAGGGCCAAGAAGACTCACTGCACGTCTTACATGCCTTCAAATCCAGAACCTGAAGAGCTACAAAACTATCAGTGTTGCAGCTGCATGATGTCCGATTTAGAACAGCTTCTGCTATCCTGTTTACAAGGGTGGCCAGGATCTATGCCCTGACCTTTGGTGAGCACTGATACTAAAAATTTAAATAAAATCATATTTATAATCCCACCTATCACTATATCCACTCTCGGGTCTGGGAAGCTGAACTTTATTGTGAAAAAGATTGGCAATGTGCTCCAGCAGATACCGGGTTTCTGTGTGCATTCCTGCTGAACACACCAGTGCTTAGTCATTCTTTCTCTCCAGCAAAAAAAAAACAAAAAACATCCTGTAGAACTTCAAAGTGACAGATGTAGCACTCCTCTAGAGAAATACTCTTATCTCCTACAGATTTTTGAAGTTGGTAATACAATAGGTATTTTCTACCACTTTCTTAGGGAATAGAAGAGAGGAATAGCATGCACTCCTCCTTAAGATTAGACTGAATATAGTACTTTTTCTTTTTAACACTTCCTTTGGCTGACTGCAAGAGAATGGAGATTCTTTTCTTCTGCATATATTCTCTGCCACATGAAAATAGATGCAGCTAACGACACAAATCTAGCAATATTTTATTGTTCTCTGAACCCCACAGTAGCTGTAATGTCTGAGAAACAGAACATATTCACAGCATTAAAATGAAGCACTACACCATCCAAGAGTCCAAGCAAAACGACATCTTCTGCAACTGCAAAGAGGGATTTTCTGGGCAAGTTTTGCCAGGCAGCAGTAAAGTTCCCTCTTAAAAACACTGTCCTCATAATTCTCCCTGTAGCTGGAGAATGTCCAGATTCACTGGAAAAGCACATATCAGAGCTAGTGGCAGTAACACATGCGGACACAGAAGAGCTAAAGTTCACCCTGTGTGAAGTTCTTGATTTTGTCCATGTTGTGATCTACTGCACCTGTTAGAAACTGCACCCAGCCTTCTTCTGATGGTGGACATACATGGCTTGTCCTGCAAAAGTGGAGGAAATTCATTAGGAAAGCCTCCTGGGGGTTTTTATATTTATGTATCCAAAAATCCCCCCAACACATTGGTATTGTGAAGTGCTGAATTACTACAGTATTAAAACGGGACTTCTGTAGCCCCACAGTGCTTGAACAAGGAAGAACCCATGTCCTTATCTCTAGTTTCAAACCTTGACACATACGTCCATCTTCAGCAGTAACCTCTTTCATTCCTGCCATCCTCTTCCTATTGCGTTGTGTCTGGGTAACATCAGAATTACTCCAGTATGACAGCATTTGCTGTCTACAAGTGAATCATCTTTGACAGGAGGTAGAGATATTAACCTTCACAGCAGCAAACACATGCTCATAAATTGTAACTCATACTCACTTTGTAATCTCTAAGACTTTCTTTAATACTGAGGCCAATTTAGCAGCCTACAAAGAAAGAAAAGGGAAATAAGTAAGCTAAACATGCAAAAAAAAAAAAAAAAAAAGGGGGGGGGGGGGAAACCCAGCATTAACTGGAAAGAAAGGAGAGGTGCAGAGATGATTAATGTAGCCAAGAATAAGTAAAACTGCCAAAGACTCTGATGCAAAAGGAAGTCACCTAACACTGGCACAGTGGGATTATCTCCTCGCTGTCTGGGACAGGTAAAAATAAAGAAAGATGTTTCTTAAAGTATACTTTAAAATGTTGGTGGTTTTGTTTTTTTGTTTTTTTTTTTTTTTTTTTTCTTTAAAAAGATAAGTCTATTAGAACAAAAAGGCATGAAGTTTTAAGTGACTGACTGTATTGCAAGTTGATAGCAGGCAATACACCATAAGAAAAAAAGTTTCAAGCCACTCGTGAACGTATGAAACCAGAATTAAACATTTCAGGTATGAGAAAGTATATACTTATCTAGGTTGGAAGGGACCCCTGGAAGACACCTGAGTGCAACCTCCTGCTCAAACCAAGGCAAATCTAAGAGTTCAGTCAGCTTGCTCAGAGCCTTGACCCCTAGAGATTTTGAGAAGTATCTCCAAAGATGGAGATTCCAGTGCCTTTCTGAGCAACTTTTTTCACTTACCAAATGAAGCATGTGCTCAACGATGCTGTGAGGATTTTTAATTTATTTGTTGAATTAAGATCACTTTATTTGAACAAATCTAAATTGCCCAGAGAGAAAAAGTAGATGTACAGTACACTGGCAGCCCTAGACCTCACTTTCCTGAGTAATGTCATTGGACATCTCTATGGATCATAGTTTAGAGGCAACACAAGGGAAGACATCCTCTTCCCTGAAGTAAAGATGGAGAATACACTTCCACCTGAAGGTAGCTAAGTGTACAAGAGAACCAAAAGATTCTTCATCCATAAGAACTTATTACAGAGACAGCAGTAAATCCTCTCTCTGAAAGACATAATTCCCCAAACTCAATCTCCTCCCCTTCTTTACAGCCAAGTGAATAGATCCGCATGCAGGCTGCAAAAACTTACATTGAGTCGCACGGCCAGATGGTTCATAGGTGGGTACATGCTCAGTGCCAGCTCATCAACGCTAGAATAGAAGACAGGGGTGCAATGGATAAAAATCCCAGCTGCACAATCCACACATTCTGGTCAAATCCTACATCCACCCTCAATGCAAGTCAAGTATGGCATGACTAGGAGACAGCATTGCTTATACCCATGGAACACTTCACAACGCCTCCTCAGGCGTCTGTGTGCAACTCCCGCCTAACTTCTAGTCATAGTCACAACTCCACTCTAAGCAGCAGCACATGTTCCTTTCCTGACATGCAAAACTCTCAATAGCCTATGATAAAACAGTCTTCATATTTGTTTCCACCACCTGGCCACAGCTTCAGCATCAGAAAGGTTTTTCCAGTCTGTATTCTAGACCTCAAGTAAAACAGGGACTACTCCGAAGCACAAAGAAGCATTTCAGCTGCCAGATTCTGTTAATTCCAGTAAGAAAAACTAATCAATGACTCCAGTTCAATAGAGCAAACTGCAAGAACCTGGCAGACATTCCCATTCTTACATCAACTTAAAACCACAAACACAGTTCAGGAGGTTGCTTACCTTGGACTGATCTCATTAGCAATGTCTGCAAGGTCATCCAGCTGAGCAATCTGCTCTGGAGAGTCAGCTTTCCCATAAGCCTTCACTACACTCAAGACCTTCTTTAGGCAAGCTTTAGAAGCCTTCATTAATCCCATGCAGGAGCCAAGCAACTTCCGGTCAGCTTCTGACCAATAGGTATCTCTGTTACCCCGAAAGCCGAGCTCCTCGTCTTCTATGATATCACTGTAGGGGTCTCGTTCTTCCACCAGAGCCTGAGAAAACAGATGCATTGAAAACCTATAGCCTAACATCCATTCCAGCAATATCCAGGAGGATAAGTAAAACATGGTCTAAAAATCGCACAAATAATTTGTGGAGGAACCTCTCTTCAACCAGGCATCTCTGCTGCCAGGCTCTGTTCACTCCAGTAAGACTGGATTAAGAAAAACTAAATACTGACTCCTGTTCAATTTGGCAAACTGCAAGAACCTGGCAAACAGTCCCATTCTTACATCAACCTAAAACCACAAACACAGTTTAGAACATAGCTTCCATGAAGCTCTACGTAAGCTAAACCAGGTCCAGGTTTAAAAACCTCAGTAAGATACAGGCATAAGATGCTCTTGCTCATAGTAGAACCTATCTAAATCAAAGCCTGTATATTAAACAATCCTTGTGTTCTTTCAGAGAAATCACTGCAGGTTCCTCAGTAACTTAAGGGTGTCCTTACATTTTCCATCTCTTCCACAGCATCCTTGACCACACCTAGAAATGCAGACAGAGCTGACACAACTGCTGCCTGGTTATCTGTAAAAGGAAAAGTAAAGAAAACTGTAGCACTGCAGTGATTCAAATCTGCTTGCACCAACATTCACCTATATTTGCAGCCATTAGATCTTGAGATCATAGGATCAAATTTTTTGCAAAGCTCAGAGCTGTACTGTATTGCTTTACAAATAATCAGAGCAGATTTCCACACTTCAGAGAACAGCAGGGTTTTGAGGAATCAGTAAGCCTCCACTGTACTGCCTAAAATGCCCCTCTCAAGCATTAACAATATTTTGAGATCACACATCCTAGTTCCATTGGTCTGCATATACAGTACTCACCTCGTGGCAGGCTGGACACTTGCTCACATGCCTCCCACACGCCACCAGTTGATATAAGTTGCTCCTGAGATGAGCTGAAACAAAACAGAGGCTCTCAAAGTTAGACACTATAACATTATACACTGCTAGGCTGTTTTATTTTTGTGCACACTATAAGGGGCTCAGCTGAGAAAATGGCAAACTAGCTTGTCACTGGTATTTCACAACCACATAAAGCACGAGATGCTTTCATAAATCCTACTGAGTTTAGTTACTAGTTGGAAAAAGAAGCAGGAGTTTCTTACAAAGACCTCTCAAGGTCCTTAGATGTTATTTTTTAACTTTCAGTATTTATCCAGATCAGAAAAGACAGCTGATCTCTGCCTAGAGAGAATGGAATTAATCAGTAAATACAGAGGCTGCATAATATTTCCCCTGAAAGACTGTGGTCCACTAACTAGCTACAGAGTCACACAATTACCATCACCATTCACTTCACAAGCAAGAACTGCCAAACAGTATAAATAGTATCAAGCACCATCATGGAAATCCCACTTCCAGTATTTTTCCTTGCCACAGACAGGATGAAAAATCTCTTCTCTACCTAAGCAGATGCACTTGAAGAATGCTAGAAGTGAGACCCAGCTCTTCCTTACCATAGGATATGCTTTTACCAAGGGTCTCTCACTAGGTCCTGCTCATGCTACATCGCAGCTGTGTTGCAGCCACATTTGTCCCTGGTGTTGATTCTCTCCTTGATTCCAACCTGAATCCAGACCTGCTGTCTTGACTTATGGCTTGACCTCAGACCCAACTAATTGCAATGGACGAGCTGGGCAACCACTGGATGGCGTGTGATGCCATTAAACTTTCCAAACCCAATTCTTATTTTGTTGTTACAGTTTGACACTGCTGCTATGGGCTTGACAGATGTCAACACCAGCACTGTTCTGTTCAATCAGATATTGGAGGACAGGTCCCTTGTCGGTGAGTCTGCTGCCTTTACCTGCCTGATAACAATGCTCAGTTCCTGCCTTCCCACTTCCCTTATGAGTGCAGTCTACACTTGCTGCTCCTTAGTGAGTATATTTGCAACTTTTCTTCTTGCTGAGAAAGTACTACCTCCCCAATGGAGAAATAAGAATTGTTTCTGTGAGCTGGATCATTCCCTCCAATACTTCAGTGGTAGCATCTCGTACCATCTTCCGAAGTGTAGTACCTGGTTGAGAAACAGCAAGTATGTTTCTAAGAGGGGAAAAAACTAACATAGATGAATAGACAGACTTGCAAAAACACACGGTATAAATAAAGTTAGAGAAACAATATATATTGCCTAAATTCTAAAGTTCTAGAAGACTTTAGACAGAGATTTCAACACTTTATAAACAGGAATGGTTGATAAACTATACCACTTTCTATACTATCATTTATTGATAGATGGAAATCACCAAAAGTAAATTGCCAAATTCATTCACAATCATGCTGCAAGTCTATAGAATAGCTGACAAGACATTGCTGATGTTAACTTGTTTTCCTGTGTAGACCAAATCTATGATGCTGTGAAATACCGGGTTTCTTTACATCGTGGTGAAAGAACTGTCCTGCCATCACTCTCTCACCTTGGCCCTTGGGGAGCCAGTAGTACACTGTGGCAACTGCAAGAATGGCATTTTGGACATCTTCACTCAGCTTTTGACAATTCTGAAAATGGGTAGGCAGAAGGATTAACTAGGAACATCACACGCTACAGTGCATTTAGAAATCCTCAAAAGAAATCATTTAAGTCTACATTATTTGTAAGAAAAAGGAAGAATAGTCATGATTACAATAACGGAGAAACAAACAACAAGAAGAGACAGTATGTTTCTGTGAAACCTAAAAGTACAGAAGAGGATAATTTGCGAGAGCTGCAAGCTCACTGTATATATCAGGAGTTGATATACGCTGTATGACCACCACACCTGGTTCAAGGAAGGTGAAGAGAGGAAAAAACAGCTTAATTATTCTCAAATCGAGGTGCTTATTTTATCCTTCCTCAAACATATAGTGTTAATATTCTCTTAATTAACAGAAAACTTAACATCATTCATTGTTAAGAGAAAAGATCTATTCTGCCAAATATCTCATCTTCATCAGCAATCAGTTATAGAAGCTCAAGAAAAAAGATCTAAGAAAACATCTCCTAATTTACATAAATTAGTTTTCAAGGCAATTCTTGAATTTGATTAATACACATTAAAAAAAAAACAAACAATTCACATGAATTGTCCCTTTTTTATGTTGACCTCAATAACTTTGTTTTAGTCAAATGAACTGGGAGATACCTCAAAGTTCTCCCACAGACAGCAATTTCCTGCTCTGTGGGAGGTTTTTACTAACCTCTGCAGAAGGCAGCGGAGGCCTCGAGAATGCTAGACTAAGCTTTGTAGCTTCCTGTGATGTTGCCTTGAATGCTTGACCTAGACAGGATATTGTGGGAAAAAGAAATTAGAAATCCTCTCAGGTAAATGCCAGTAGAATGGCGTAAGTAGATTAGCAGTGTCTTCTCAGCCACCACTATTTCTTATTTCCGAGCATGAAAAAAACATGAACTAAATTACACTGCAAAAGAAAATTTCCCTGTAGCTTTCGCGCCACACACACTGCATGTAGAAGAAATGTGATCACTGCCAGCTTTTTACTTAGCTGGTACTGCTGTCCACACCCACATCCATCTGCTCCAGCACCTTCACTAGAACGTTCCATAAGGCTTTAAGAGATCAAATGCTTTAAAAACATGAAACAGTTTTTACAACTATACTCTTTATTACTTTACAACACCAGCGGGACTAGAGCAAAACCCCCGGCTGAAGACCCGTTTGCCGGGAATTCCACATGCAGTTCACTGCTCTGCTGCGAACCAGTCCAGCCGCGGCCCAACACCTCTACCCCACCCGGCGGCCAAGCCCAGCACGGTACCCTCGGTGCCAGCCCGCTCCCCGGCCCGTACCTAGCGCGTCCCAGAACCGCGGAGGCTCGAACGGCTCACGGCCTTCGCCCGGTTCGCCCTCTGTAAATGCAGAAAAAAGGTCTCAGCCTGCGGAAAGCCGGCCCAACTTCTGGCCCGACGTCCGTTTCTGCCCCAGCCCGGCCCCGACCCCCACCTCTGACCCGTGCCAGCACCGCGCGCAGCGAGCCGCACAGCTCCTGCAGCAGCTCCCGTGCTTCCATGCCTGCAGGAGCACCCCGCGCGCTTCGGCACGGCTGGACGTCAGCCGCGGCACGGCACACCAACTTCCGGCACGGCAGCCCGTCGGCTGCAGTACGTCACATCCGCTTCCGGCACGGCAGCCCGTCAGCTGCAGTACGTCACACCAACTTCCGGCACGGCAGCCTGTCGGCTGCAATACCCCGTATCCGCTTTCGGCAGAGCTTCCCCATCGGCTGCGGTACGTCACACCAACTTCCGGCACGGCTGCCTATCGGCTGCGGTCCGCCACATCCGCTTCCGGAGAGCCGTGCAGAAGAGGCGGCTCCGCCCCTTTAGGAAAACCCTACTGGTTACGCGCGCTACCCCTGCACGGAAGGACGAGGTTTGGCACGGAGCGCGGAGGTGTGCGTTTTATTGATTACACAGGCAGCAGCGAGCAGCCGAGGAACGAGAGGGGAGGCAAGAAACGTTGCCAGAGAGGCCGCTACAGCAGGCGGTGGAGATCCTGGAAGTTGAACAGGTTGTTGGCTGTCTCGGACCAGGCTGCGTGGGTCGCTCCGTCCATCTCAGAAGCAAGGCTGTTCGTGCTGTCCAGAGCGTGGTTTGCGCCCCCGATGACCGCGTGGCATTCGGGGCACGTGCTCCTCTCCATCGCACCCCCACAGTCCCCAATTACGTAGACGTGCCCATTTTGGCATTTGAACCAGTGACCACGTGGGTAGCCGATAGCGCTGACAATCTGCACTCGCTCAGCGTCAGTGATCCCCAGCCCCGACACGGGCAGGGCAGCGTCGATGCGCTTCAGCTCAGCTTTTACTGTAGCCTCTTCCTTCTCTGTGAACCTTTTTGTCCCTTCCAAGATTCCACGTAATGTGGCAATCCTTGTCGCAAGGGTCGTAGTGATCATTCCGCTTGTGCCTTTACACCTTGACAAGAGGTGGTGTAGATAGCTCAATCTCTGGATCTCAGCCTGCAGATCCATGAGCTCCTGCTTTGTAAAACTGAGGCGTGGCTTATCCAGCCACTCCTGGACTTCATCTAGACGCTTTTTCAGCCCTTTTTGCTCTTTTGTATCAATTTTGCTAAGGGAACTGGTTAGGTCAGCTATACGTTCATAGAAGTTAAGCTGATTCTCAATTGCTCCAATGCTCTTTATGGAAAGATCAGAGGCTTTTAGTTTATCCTCCAACATGAGGTACTTACTTTGTAGGTTCCTCTTCAGAACACTCTTACTTGTGAGCACAGCCTGCAGTCTTTGTCTGCTTGACTCAATTTCCCGTGCTGGGCCTTGGATTTTCTCTTTCACCTTCTCTATCTCAACCAGATGCTTTTTCACAATGGTGCCATATCTCAAACTCTTTCTGACTGGTGTCTGACAGGTAGGGCACACCTTCAGCTTGATGACATCATCATCTTCATCCATATAATGATCAAGGCCCTGAGACTCAAAGATGTGGCCACAATCTTCAAGCTGTACAAATCGTGCATCCTCATCATCCTCAAAGCCAAAAAAGATCTGGGTAACCTCCTCATAGTCACAAACAAGGCACTTCTTTGGGCAAGGCTCTCCACAGAATCCAATACAAGGATGACCACAGTGCAGCAGCTTAGTACATGGTACATTGCATCGAGGCCTATTGCATGGTTCATGGCAAAGATTGGTACACTGGTAGTGCTGGCACCGCCACTCACATGGTTCTGCGCATGGAGTACAGCACTCTCCGCATTTCTTCTTACATCTGCTGTGGACACAGTGGTTCTGACAGTCAAGCTGACAGGGAGGGCATTCTGTAGTACAAGGCTGCTGACACGTGTGGGAGCAGATCAAGAAGCGCTTGCATGGGCTCTTACATGGCTCATGAAATCTTCCTCCAAAGCAGGTGTGACAGGAACCTGTGCATTCATGACCGCACTCCAGTTTCACAGAACACTTAGCCATACATTCTATAGGTTTCTGATGTTTCGTCTCGTCAGCGATCCAACACTGAATTTTCTGGCTGTGGCCACATGGCAGAAAGACTGTAACCAGTTCAGGACACCGAGTAGCACATTCCTGCCCACAGTATTTGTTGCATGTATGCCCACAGTTTAACTTTTTCTGGCAAGGTTCTTGGCAAATAAACTTGCTGTCTGGACAAGAGCATGGCATCATCTGCAGGTGGCCACATTTAGAGACAATTTTCTCTACTGTTACCATACATGGTCCACATGGCTCATAACATAAGCGTGGACAGCGGTGCCCCTCTGTACAAAGTACCTTTTGACAAGGCTTCAGACACTGATACTTTTTGTGCTGTACATCATATGGATGGCATGCTCTTGTGCAAACATGTCCACAATCCAACCTAAATTCACAGGGTTGAATACAGCCTCCTTCTGGGACTTTGCTGAAGTCTGCTGCTGTAGATACGAGAGTCATGGTCTCAGGGTGATTTTGACAGCAAAGCGTCAGTGAGCGGCCAATGTTACCTTTCTCTCTCAGTGTGTGAATGATCTTGCTCCAGAGAGGAACCTTGCCCATCATTTTCATATTTCCAATACAGTACAGACCTTTCTTAGCTCTGGATAGGGCTACACATATCCGATTAGAGATCTGCAAGAACCCAATTCTCTCCTCTTTGTTACTCCGCACAAGTGACAGCAAAATAATATCATTCTCCTCTCCCTGGTACTTATCTACTACGTAAACCTTCACACCTGCAAAAGTCTTGGCTGGCATGAGCTTGCGTAAACAGAAAAGCTGCCCAGTGTAGGTAGTGAGAATGGTGATCTGAGAAGGTTGATAATCCTGACACAAGAAGTATTTGCAAAGTTCCACCACAAACTGCGCCTCGTGTATGTTCTGATGGCTTCTCCCTTCCTGGATGACTTGCTCAGGAAAGTCATGCTCCACAAAGAAAAGGTTAGATAAGACCCCCTGAAACAAGAGAAAGAGAATCTTAGAATTCTACTTGTCACTACAGCCTGTTTCCATGTTCCTGACTATCCACTAAAATGGCTGCTCTGCTAAAGGAGCATGCAGTATGTGGTTAGTGCACACTGGGGCAATTTCTTTTGATGTCCATAACATATTTATCAGAAGTGACTAAACTTGTTAATGGTATTTCAGCTTATTAGGGACATTTCGTTATCTTAACATGACATCAGGCCCTGTGGATGATTTTATTCCTCACCTTTTTCTGAGTTATTTTTACAATACATTTTCTGGTTATGCAAAATCAAAAATTTGGTTCTACTAACATTTTCCAAATCACCACAGTTCTATTTTACTTTCATTCTATTTTACATTCAAGCTGTGAAACAGTGCACAGTTCAGCACTTGCCTAAAACTGAATAGCAAAAATCCCATCTCCATTGCTGCAGTGGAAAGAGGAAAAAGGCAAGAAGGCCTGATTTTCCATGAAGAAGGCTTCAAACATTAGGGACTCCACCACTCACCAGCTCCAGGCTGTATACTGATAAAGTGCTCAAAAAAAGAACTCTCCAGAGCAGGATTCCAATAACAAAGTCACCTGTCTTACACTAGAACTTCACAAATTATGCATCAAGTCTCTTTATTCTTAATTTTCAATTTCCTAATTTTTTTTTTAATCCTTTTTCCCTTTTTCACTGTTCTTTTAATAAATCATCAATATTGGATCCATTTCCAATGTCTACAATCAGCAATACCAGAAGAACTACAGATTACTTGCCTAATTCTATATCCCTCATTTCCCTGGATCAGGTATTAATTTCAGTAGCTAAATCTGATGTGAGAAGTTTAAATCCTTTAACACTGCATTTTACAGAAACTTATTTTAACCAGTAATGGGGCAAGAGAAAGTGCTTGGACTACTGAAAACTCACTTTTATGTTCTCATACTTCAAGACTGAAGGATGGTTTTCCAGATTCTGGTAAATATGAGGACTGAGAAGCTGGGCAATTTCAGGACGCATGCGGTGCTGAAACACAAAGCAGATCTATTGGTCTTGAGGAAGGAGCACCCTGTTTCCCTGCTAAGAATCTGTTTTTCTGTTGTACATGTCATTGTTGAATACAAGACAAGGGTGACTTTTCAGTAAGACTCGAGAAGGCAGCATCTCCCATCCCAGCCCTGCTGCCACGACCAGCTATCACAGGTGAGTGGTAGGCCAGTAACATTTAGCAAGGATGTTGTAATAAGAATGCTGGTTTCAGTGCAAATCTAAGAACAAAAGCATTCTAGAGAATAAGAGCTTACACCTCATTCTAGCCAACTCTTTCAGGCTGTTTTAATATAGGACTGCTGGAGGTAGAATTAACTTCTCCAGGCACCAAAAAATAACGGTTGGAGCAATTTAACAGGAAGCTGCCCAAAAAGATTTGCTGTCAGCCTCCTCAGTCCTGGAACAATTTTATATGCCTCAATAGGTCATGTTTGTTGCTCTAAGAATTGGGAGAACCACAATGCTGTGAGTCACATAACTGAATAAATCAGACATATAGACATAACATACGATTTCAGTTTGGCATCTCTTACCATTCTTTTCAGGAATGAAGTAGCACATTCTTTTATTTTAGACTACTCTGTGAGTAGAAATATAAAAGCTTAAATGTACTATAAATTTTAAACAACCTAAGTACAGATGCAATAAAGAATGTTTTATATCTGTTCCTTACTTGGTATTTTAGGCATACAAAGGGGAAATCAACTTTCACCAGTCGTTCAAAGAGAGACACTTCCAGATTGAAGTTCTTTGCCAGGTCATAAACATTGGCACTAGGCTGCAGCTGAAAAAGAAGGGATAGGAGTATTTTTACAGCATTAATCCTATATATTAGTAAGATATTTTTTTCCTATTAATCTCTTTCTATTACTGGTTTCCAGTCAAAAGGCCAGAGACATGATTCTTGCAGAAGTGCTAAACAGCAAAGTTGGGTGCTGTGTTAACTAAAGTGGATTCAAGCACACGTCAAATTGTGTCCTTCAGTAAACTAAAGGATAAATCCCACAGGAACTCTACTCTATAACCAAAGGAGACAGCACCTGTGGTATCCATGGAGACTGGTGAGCAGTATATTTTGGCAACCCTTCACGTTTGGTTGGTAAAAAGGTTCTACTTGATTTGCAC